GAGAGAGAGAGAGATTGCACTTTTGTTATATGATGTTTGAGTAAGTCTTGGTCTCTATTTAGTCCATCATTGTTTGGATCATAGTGAGACATGAATCATCAATACATTTTTGCAACTCGATAACTATACCTCCATTTTCTTTGTTGGTTTCAGAAGAAAGAAAAAATGATTTAACGGCTTCCATTTTTGCTCATCTAGATCTCTCTCCATATCATGTTTTTGGCGTGGCATTTAAGGGGACAACTAGAACGTGTTTTAGTGGCATCATTGGATGCTAAATTTTGCCCCCTTTATGGGTGTGCACACAAATCACACTGCCTTTTCCCAATTATTTGGGGTCGGCTACACGAATCTTGATTCATCATTCTGCTCTATCAAGGGCCATACCCTCAATTAATCTCATATAACTATTTTGTTAGAAGTTTGAAAATCTTGCTCGAGTAGAGATTGCTTGACCAGAGGAACTCATCCGGTTAGATCTTTTGAATCCTACTTATCTTGTAAAATTTTCTTTCTAACCAAATTCTCAACCAAAATCTTTCGAACTTATTGGTCGAACTAAGAATCAAGCTATCCAATCCTATAACCCTAGAAAAGCCTTAGGAACCAAGGGAACCCCTGGGAATCCAATTAGCTTCTTTATTCCAAATATGATTCTACTTTGGTTCAATTCTATTATTTCTAAGTTTGTCTCCTTCAAACCTAGTGTTAGAGCCCAATAAGTGTGCCTGTAGCTAGACTAGTGGGTGACCTCTCAACAAATACTGCAAGCAATGGATCAAGGTGAAGTCATATGAGTCCTAATAGCGCTGTCGTCTTACCATTTGGGACTAACACGAGTTGGCATGATTGGCACTCCACCTCATTGAAATGTAGGATGAGGCCAAAGTGAACCGGCATGATGGGCATTCCTAGGCACAACCGGAGCGACGGGTCAAGTTGAAGTTAGATGAGTCTTAATAGTTGCGCCCTTTGAACATTTGTTATAGGGGCGGCAACTTGGTCGAATCGACTTACTAACCCGATGGGTTCTCCTAAGCCGGGTCTAGGTTTGAATCGGTATATTGGACTCAACTCATCGGGTCTGGGTTCATTTGACCTGGAGCTGACCCAGGTATTGGTCAACTCTGCCCTTCTTGGCCCTATATTTATGGAAAATTTTTATATAAGGTTGCCAAATGTAGAATTAAAGATCCACATTAAAAATCTATTGGAAAAGGTTGTTTTAATGTTGAAAAACCCTCTAATTGATTATTTCGACATCGAGATATATGAATATGAAAAATAAAAACAATTATGAGTCCCAAAAATAGTACATCTTTGCCACACATTATGTAGACCGTTCATTTTCAAGATTTTCATATGTTTATAGATATACTTGATTTTAACCATTTTTGGAGTTTAAAATTTTATAATTAGATATGAAAATAGATTTTGAGATAATCCTAAGAATTTTTTATACCAAACTTACATGTTAAGATAAAATTTGGAGGTGCGCCTTAATTGGATTGTTTAAGGTTGCAACCTTATAGAAACCACACCCTATATTTATATATGCAATTTATACATAACCTATATTATTTATATATATGTATTATAAAATACATATAAATTCGTTATTTTTTTTTACCCAGACCATTACCTAATCCGGTCTGGTGCAGGTAACTGGCTTGGCTCTGTGTCCAATATTTCATGTTTCATGCTCATGTCCCACTTTTGAGAGAATTTGTGGTACTTAAATTTGATTTTTTTTTTTCTATTCATTGGTTAAGCTCAAATTTGGGTGTCCATACTTCTTACCATCATGCACTTGTAAAACGTATAAAAATAATACTTTGAAATAAATAAAAGAATAAAATGACCAAAATACCCCTGAAGCTTGTTTGAATATTTCTATGGAATTGTTTCGTTATAGTTTTTATAGATACGTGATGGTGAAAAGTATGAAAGCACGAAGTTTGAGCTTAATTCGATAAATAGAAAAAGAGATAAAACTAAAATACTAGATGCACTCTGGGAAAGCGGGACATGAGCGTAAAATGTAAAACATTGGGGATATTTTTTAAATTTCTCAAAATGTAGGGGACATTTAGAAAAATTTAGTAATAGAGAATATAAAATTTAAATAATAAAAATATATTACGAAGGTTAATTAAGTCAATCAAGCACCTTTAAAAAACGAGCCAACGCATATGTTTGCAAAGGATTCTATGGCATAGGTGGCGAGAAACCTCACCTGTCCTAGGTTCACCACCTTCATTGACACTATTTGCTTTGCTAGAAACACTATCAACGTCACTTGGCTAGTGGACAACTCAGATTGAGCCTCTACTTGGTGGAGGGGGGTTACAGGTTCCATACCGTACAAAAATCTCTTCTCCTAAACCTTTATGGGTCCAGCCTTATCTTTTTAGCCCTTGACCCTAACTGATCCCTTTTACCATTTTTCCGTCAAACTCGAACCGTGGAATATAGGCACGAAAGTCTTTCCCTAGGCTCTAGGACACTGAGATAACTGGGATTAATGTAAACCCTAGTTCAACTCCTCCAAACTACAAACAACCAAAAGTCCTCATGACCTAGTCTATGTTGTACCCCAGATGGACCATAGACTACCATGGGTGCCTACTACCCCAACGCCTTCGAGTCTCTACCAAATCAATATAAGTGTTAAGCAACTCTGTTTTGAGCAGGAAAGGGGCTGCGGTCGTGGTGTATCATCCCCACACCCAGTTACCATGTCGTGGTATCCATTCCTACCGGTGACACCCCCAATTAACATCTTCAAAATGTAACTTCCTAATCTATTGAAAAAATATAAGTTCCTAATCTATTGAGAAAAAGGGTAGGGGCCTATCTTCCTCACTGAATTACCCAGAAAGAAAAAACTTCTGGCTCAAGAAATCTCGTCAACAAAGGAAAAGGTTGCTCCACGTCCCCTCTGTTTGATTTACGCCTCAAATGCAAGTGTTGGGCATGTGGATCCGGCATGACCATGTTGGCCTCCCTTTTCATTTCAACATTATCTCTCGTTTCTTTAGTATATTACATGTTTAGTGTGGTCTATTTCTAACCTCAAATGTCTTAAGATCTTTAAATTTGGTATTTGGCAAAATTCTTAGCCAACACAGTCTACAACAGAGGAAGTGGCTGTGAAGCAATTTTTTCCATGGTCTGTAATTTGGAGGGACCCATTCCATTAACATTTCCAATTAAATCGATTTTGTTTAGGAGCAAGTCAAGGTAGAGGAAGAGATATTGAATCTTTAAGCCTTGGTTTCTTACGTGTAAAGACCACCTCTTCCTTTTCTTGTTTAATGTGCATTTTCTTATTGATTTTAACCATAGATATGGAATCTCCCTTGATTCTATTTGTTGAATTGTCCATTTCTTGATATTTTGTTGGTTGCCTTTCCATTTTTAAGGTTTACATGTTGATTTGCCATTTCTTTAGCTTTTATCAGTTTATTGTCTTTCAGTGGCATTTGGACACTTCATATATCTTATGGTGTCGCTTATCGACACGTCTCAGCACGTAGACATGTGTCGATTGGTGTAGACACGTCCCCTCTGTTTGATTTACACCTCAAGTGCAAGTGTTGGGCATGTGGATCTGGCATGACCAAGTAGGCCTCCCTTTTCATTTCAACATTATCTCTCGTTTCTGTCATACATTTCATGTTTAGTGTGGTCTATTTCTAACCTCAAATATCTTAAGATTGTTAAATTTGGTATTTGGCAAACTTCGTAGCCGATACAGTCTACGGACAACAGAGGACATTGCTGTGAAGCAACTTTTTCTATGGTCTGTAATTTGGAGGAACCCAATCCATTAATATTTCCAATTAAATTGATTTTGTTTAGGAGCAAGTCAAGGTAGAGGAAGAGATCTTGAACCTTTAGGCTTGGTTTTTTACGTGTAAAGGTGCCCCCTTCTTTTTCTTGTTTAATGTACAATGTGCATTTTCTTATTGATTTTAACCATAGATACGGAATCTCCCTTGATTCTATTGGTTGAATTGTCCATTTCTTGATATTGGTTGCCTTTCTCTTTTTAAGGTTTACATGTTGGTTTGCCATTTCTTTAGTTTTTATCAGTTTATTGTCTTTCAGTGTCATGTGGACACTTCATATATCTTATGGTGTTGCTTGTCGACGTCTCAGCACTTAGACATGTGTCGATTTGTGTAGACATAGACCAGACACGTTGATTGTACATGTCAAGTCATTTTATTGATGTTTAGTACATGTTGACACGACGACACTTTATAAAAGCTTTGTCATTGTTTAAATTTATACAATAAGAAGCCTATGGCCACATGGTAGAGTGGTTGTTCTTGACATACGATGGCATGAGATCGAATCCTCGTGGGTGGCTCCTTTATGAGTACTTTTTTTGGAATATTTTGTAGAATTGCATTTTCAATAATTAATGCCAAGCATATGATAGGTACCTAGGATGTGTTCAAGTAATATACCACCATCTACCTCCATGCAGGCTGCTATATGTATATTGTTTGCGAATAATTTTTTATATATTAGATAGTTATTTAATAACACGAATTTATTAGAGTAGAGAAATCAAATTATTTAAATATTGGGCAAGCTTTCTATGCTTCCCCTACAATGTAAAACTTATATACTTCCCCTTATCCAACTGTTCATTCTTAATGGAGGACTATGATTGCCCCAATCACAATGTCATATCTGTACACTGTTTTATTTTTAATTTTTTCTATAAAATAATATGAAACCAAATTTTGGGAGTCCAATCCTCTATAAAACTCGCACTTGTAAAAAATACAAAAAACATATTTCCAATAAAATAAAATGACCAAAATACCCCTGAAAGTTTCAAGGGGTATTTTGATCATTATATTTTATCGAAAAATTATTTTTAATTATTTTTTGTAGGTGCGCCCCAATGAGAAGATGACACGTACCAAATTATAAAATGATGAGTGGCTCACTTGGTCAAAAAATGACGGCTGGATGGTAGGGGAAGCATAGATCTTCTATGCTGTATGGGAAGTATAGAAACCTTGCCCTATCAAACCTGACTCAATTCCAAAGAACTCTCATAAGACAAAAAAACATGATATTGTTTTAGATAATATTTGTCTATACAATTAACTTTTGACCAAAAGGTCCTAACTTAAGTATAAATTTTGTAATGACATTTTTACCTCTGTAAATAGTTACCAGTACTCATGAATAGTACTGGTGAATATATTCATGAAATAAATAAAAAACTATAAAAACCCTAGAATCCTTAAAACAACTAAAAGCCCTGGAAATAAGCCCTAAAAGCAAACTGTAATATACATCTTTTAAAGTTGAATAAAAATAAAGAATAAGAACGATTTTTCCCTCCATCATTCTGTTAGCAATGGGTCTGAATTTCATGTGTTCATTATCATGGAATCCACACTTTCTTGTGGGTTTTTACAATGAATCTTCTTGCTCATGGTTCTACTGAACTTCCCCTTGGATTCACTTGGTTTTATAAGTTCCATCATTTTCTTTGGTTTTAATTGTTTGACATTGTTCGTCTTCGCATTTAGTTACCAATTTCTTGTTTCCCCTTTCGCGGTGATGATTTTTCTCACATTAATAATGTTGTATTTGGTTTTTCCCTTTCCTATTTGAGAAACTCAAGTATGGTCGATGACATTTACAGAAACTACTTAGAAATTAATTATTTCTTGCTAAAGAATATTAAAGAAAGTGTGTGAGTTCAATGTCTAGATCCAAGAACACTGATTTGAACCCGAAAGGGCTGGATCAGGTGGCTTGTTTTAAAGTGGTCCATGACATTGATCTTGTGTTATTCTTTTCATTTTGATGTATATACGGTTCTAAGACCAATTATTTACAATAATATTCATACTCAGATCAGTTTCTTGCCTACTATTCCAGAGATAATAATTTGTGGGCCAATATTTTAAACACTTGCTCTTCATTTGATGCTATAGTGTTTTCTGGAAGACTGGGAAACCTAATGCACTCCCAAATATGTTCACATGGGGAACTTCATTGAAGGATCACTGTCCTCTTTAAAAAGGAATATGCGGGACATCATTTCTTGTGCTAATCAAACAGCAGTTTCTGTATTAAACAAGTACCTCTACTATGTTATTTGACAAACATAATAATATACTATTCTAAATTCATGGAAGTATATTTTTTTTGAGAAAAAAATTCATGACAGTATATTATGTTATGTATTAATCATGTCTGGTGATTTGTTTCATTTCTTACAGAACTCAGCACCGACTCCTAAAAGTGGGGCAGAGAATGGTCAAGCAGTGGCTGTACAAGTATCATGTAACAAAACAGCTTTTCATCATTGTAGTTTGTTTGGATACCAAGATACTTTGTATGACCACGAGGGCTAACGCTATTTCCATAATTGCTTCATTCAGGGTGATATTGACTTCATTTGTGGCGATGCTCGATCCCTCTATGAGGTAAAAATTCGCTCTCAAAATGCAAGTGATTGATAGTAAAAATTCTCTCTTAATGTGGTGTAGTAGGGCCTTCGTAGTCATCTTTGTTGCATAAGGGGATCATGGCAATTTTGATTTTATCTTTTTTCTTTGTTTCTAGGATTGAGTTGAATTTTATTGGCAAGGAAAAGTCTTGGATCACAGTCCAATATAGACAGAAGGGATCTGGTGAAACTGGATTCTCCTTTGTAGGTGGTCATATCACTGGGCATGGGATGGTATATTTAGGACGGCCATGGGGTGAGCTCTCGACAGTAGTATTTTCTAACGCCCAAATAGACCAACTGGTCATCCCTCAGGGGGGTTGGGATGGTTTTTGGTCAGCTGAGGACCGAAGCAAGTAAGTCTCTATCTTCCCCCCACCCCTTCTTTTCCTTTTCTCTCATGATTAAACATATATAGGAAATAATATTTGGAATTATATGTCATTTTTGGCACTCTTATCCAACTGAGCTCGATTGGATAATGCAAGGGGATTGACATAAATATACATGAAGCTCTGCTTCATGAGACAGCCCCACTTAAGAGTCAAAATTGAAGGGATATAAGATAAATAAAAAAGTTAGACCGACATCTACCAAAAGCCATGATTGAGCTGATATTTGAGCTTATCATTATCAAAAAGGAAAAGGAAGACATGTAAGAAAAACAGATAAATGGTTGGAATGTAATAGCATCTGGCCCCCTTTATTGAAGTACCGTGTATGCACTGGTTTAATGTTATGAATCTATCAACTCTGCATCTTTTGTATATGAACCAGTCTAATATTATGAATCTATCAACTATGCATCTTTTCTATCTCATGTCAGTGGGTAATTTAAAGTTTAAATATTATTGATAAACAGTGATACATAAGTAGCCATTTTGATTATCTGTTCCTAAGTTTTTTGGCATAAAATGTAGACTAAGAGTTCATTCTGATTTGCTTGCATAGTTTAATGCCAATGGCACGATAGGGCGTTGTTTTTTAACAATATTCGTAGACTCATCTGTAATTGAAAATTTTAAAAAGCCATTTATAGAGTTTGTTCTATGCCTTACTCTTTTCTTTTTTTCATTTTTTCAATTGCTGAGATTCCAAACCTGCCATCCTCGGGTTCTTCATAGTCGTCTCTGTTCGGTTAGAGTTTTTGTTCTATTTTCCTTTTGTCAGATGTATCTCTAGTACTAGCAGATAAAAAAAAAATGTATCTCTAGTACTAACACCTCATTTTCCTTTCCCTTTCCCCCTGTCAAATATATCTCAAATTACTAACCCACTCATTTTCCTTTAACAAATATATCTTAAATATCACTTACACATAGCATATTTCTTGGTGGTATTAGGACTATGTATTAGGAAGAATTTGCATGTTGGGGACCTGGTGCGAACACCACAGGGAGAGGTCCATGGTCCTATAAGCTGACAGAGGCTGAAGCACAGAAGTATTGAGGAAAGGACTATATCAACGGATCCACATGGATCATTTGATTGTAGTTTCTTTATCTTATCTCATTGTTACGTTACTTTTGCATTTGATATTACATGAAGTTCCTGATATTCATGGTTTGGTCAGTAATGGACCCGGTTATGGCTGGCAAGGTCCGCCCCGCATCTCTTTCCTCCTCTCCGACCCCAAATAAAAAGAAAAAAAAAAAAATTGTTTTGTTTGCCATTTCAGAATAATGATCTTGTGAGCCACTCTTACACCTGGGTTAATAGCTCTCTAATTATTAGCCTTTGATACTGTCTTGCTTGTAGGTTTGGAAATGGATGACATGGGGATGCCTCTAAATGCAAATTAGTTTTTCTAATTTCTAACTTCCTTTTTCTATCCATAGTCTAGATAGGGGGAATGCTCCTTTTGTCATGAATGAGCATTAATCTTAAAAGCTCAACAAAATCCAATCTTCTCTTTCCCTATGCTCTCTTGCATCGTTTAGTTAACCAGCTGATCTCTTTCTCTGTGTCAAATATCTACCCCTTCTCTCGCTCATCTCTACCTAAATGCCTGGTTCTCCCTATGTAGGCAAAGAAATGGAAACCCATGTGGAGATTTCTACTGCTCTTTCAGAGAAAAGGAGCAGCTCTAGGGATGTTTTTCATCATGGTTCAGAAGAGATATATGTGAAAGGAAAGTATATATGGTCTACCAGGTTAATTTGGAAGGTGTATATTGTATACTTTCCTTTCACAATATGCACCCATGCAAGTTTCTCTCTCTGGACTACGGTCAAAATTTGAGGGTACAATCAAATTTGAACCTATGCTTGGTTCTTGCTTCTTAATCTGAACAGGTGCAAGCCTCAATTCAATCTGTAAAAGTAACAAGAACCTCTAATGGTTCCATCTCTCAAATTTTAAAGCATAGGATCTTTGCATTGATCCATGAGAGGAATCTGTGCCAATTCAGATCGCTTTGGGGTTTACCTCTGTTTACCCACGTTGAGAAGCTTGTCATTTAAAAGAAAAAATCGTACTTTATTATACAAGAGCACCAAGAATGAGGCAGTGTTGCGATGATTAAAGAAAACAACTAAACCATGACTGAGATGCAATACATCCCTCAAGAAGCGCAGGAAGAAAATGCAATCGCGTTCGAGAGAGAAAAATGCAATCGCATACTTTGTACAGAAATGCTGATGCTAACGGTCCAAGCTCCTCCCTAAATCGGGATTCGGACCAAGGATTGCATAGATCTATTAAAAAAAGGTTTTAACCAGAGGGTGGCTGATTCGATCTACTAAACACGTCATTTTTTTTTATTTTTTTATTTTTAACGGGTAGTTCAGTGGGGATGGCTTCAAAGCTCAAGATGTCACTTTGTGTCGTCCCGTTACCTTGACCTCCTTTGGACCGCATGTCAAAATAAACTACCCACTGGATAATCTTAAGGAAGAGAGGCTTCATTGTAGCTAATGTTTATCAATTGTGTTTAATGGATAATGAATCTGTGGATCATATTATTCTATATTGTTTTTGTACACAGGAGATTTGGAGTTAATGCAGACAGCTAATCAAATTAAATATCCTTAGTCCTCAATCAATGCCAATTGTGTTATAACAATGTATGAATCCTGGATTAAAAAAGTTGGGGACAATGTTATGAAGGTTTCTTTGGGTCTCTGTGATATGGAACACTTTGGAGTGAACGCAACAGAAGGGTGTTTGCAGGTGAAAGTCTAGATATCTATTCCCTAAAAACAAACACCCTTGCTACGGCGGCTAATTGGCTCTCCACAAACAAGGATAGCAGCTTCATTCCTAGAAATCAGATTATTCAAAACGCTGCAAACTTCCAAAGTCGATCCAATGGTAGACAATCAATATGAGATCCACTACAACAGGAAAATCTAAAACTTAATTTTGATGGCAGCTCCTTCAAAAATCCATGTCTTGTTGGGTTTGGTGGAATTGTTCGTGATAGCATGAGCAACATCATATTGACTTTCTCGAGCCCAAGTAGCATCACAACTGTGAATGAGGCCGAAACAAGAGAATTGTTGGAAGGACTGAGATTATTTTCCCAGTTAAGTGGAAATAAAATTGTTGTGGGCGATTCAAAAAAATGTGATAGCATGGGCTAAAGGAGAGATGAAACCACCGTGGAGATTCACATCCCTGTTTGACGAAATGTTTTATTTTTTAGCTTGCGACTCTTTTGAGCTCCTTCATTGTTTTAGAGAGGCTAACTTCGAAGTTAATTCTCTTGCTAAGGGTCGTGTACACCAATCTTCTTTAGTGGTTATATCATTTTCTCAAAGGTGTAGTTGGCATACGGATGCATCTGTAGCTGTAGAGGTAAGGTGCACCTTCAAATTTTATCATGGTATATAATTTTAATATAAATTATTTTTAGGATTATCTCAAAATCTATTTGTTTATCTAATTATAAAATTTTAAATTTTAAAAATGGTTAAAATCAATTATATCTATAAACATATGAAAATCTTGAAAATAGACGGTGTAGATAATATATTGTAAAATGCACTATGTTTGTGACCTAAAATCTTTTTATTTGTCATGGTCATACATCTCGATGGCGAGACGATCAATCTAATGGTTCTTCAACATTAAAACTACTTTTTCCGATGGATTTTTGAGGTGCATCCGTAGTTCTATACTACAAGGTTGCATCCTTATATAAACTTTTTCCTTTTCTTAATTGTACTCTCTCAATGTAATTTTGCTCATGTTTAAGGAAACTTGTGGTTATCATTCAAAAAAAGAAACGAAAATATACACTTCAATATTTTTTCGTGCTGATATTCTTTCTTCCTTATGACCTACTTTTTCAATACAGCCATTTTCGAGCCTCAAATCGTCGTGGCTAATTGTTGATGTTATTAAACCAATGTATAACAAAATGGACTGGTAACCCGATCACCCAACAATCTCTCTCTCATATTTGAGTAGCAGAACAATTGAAATTTTATCAAATAACACAAAAAAAAAAGTATAAATACACAAATAAGAAAAACATAAAGTGAATTGTTCCCTCCACTAAAATTTCTATGAAATGTAGAGCTCCTTCTAAAAGTTACATTATTTACTCTTACCACTGTTTCTTTATCTAAAATAATCCAAAAAAAAAAAAAACACGTCTCTCTCTTTCTTAAACCATCCCAAAACTCAACCCAAGCCACCTTTCACTCACTCTCTCTCTCTCACTCAGACACCTATGTACAAATTCCTTGGGGACAAAATATACCTGTTTTGGAGGCTTGAGTACAATTGAGTTTCTAGAACCTAACTATAAATAATATGAGTAGTCATCCTATGAGACCCTCCCACACCCATGTGTGTAGGACCTCAAAGGATCACCATTAAATTTGACACAGATCTCTAGAAAATTCAAGTCTCACACCCATGTGATAACTTTTCTAAATATCTGTGCGAAATTTAATGGTGATCCTTTGAAGTCCTATACATATAGGTGTGGGAGGGTCTTATAGGATCATTACTCAAATAAAATAAGGAAAAAATTTATATAGAACAGAGGCTTTAAACAATCAAATTTGAGCTTACCTCAAAAATTTCACTAGAAGAGATTGTTTTGATGCCCAAATATATCTTGACATCAAGATGCATGACATGAGAAAAAAAACGATTTCAAGTTTTAGAAATAGTGTATTTTGTAACACATTTTTGGATTGTCAATTTTAAAAAATTTCAAGTTTTCATAGATATATCGATCTACACTATTTTTGAAGCTTTAAACTTTATAAATAACTATGGAAATATATTTTAAGACTAGCACAAAGATTTCCAGTATTTAAACCACATTTTTCAACACTATTTGAAGGAAGGCTCTAATTTGATTGTTTAGAGCCTAGGCTCTATACAAACTGCACCCATAAAACAAAGGAAAATAAAAAAACACTCTATTTCCCTAAAGATGAAAATGTGTCCTACAATCTCTACAAAATTAAGACCCGTCTTATTTTTGCAATACGTGTCCATCCTTAACTTTGGATTCAAAAGAGTTAAAAAACTCCAAAGATAAAAAGTTAGTTATGGACAATTCAAAAAATAAGAAGTTTCTAAATCAACGTCGGGGATGTCTTGGCTCAGTGTTCCTAAACATAAGGGCAACTCTATATCGGCATAATTTGGTCCACTCAAACAAGCCCACGATTGAGAAGGAAGAAAAGTATGAACTTAGGAAGAAAAATATGAACTTGGGAAATGGGACATCATTCAAATTATGTAGATACGAGAAAAAATAGATTTATAAGTCTTGGAACTAGTGCATCTTGTAATGTATTATGGAAACTATTAATTTTCGAGATTTTCAAGTATTTATAGATCTACGTGATCTACATTATTTTTTAACATTAAATTATATAATTAGAGATGAAAATAAATTTTTAGGCCACCATAAAAAAATTTATGATACTGAAACAACACATTTGAGCACTATTTAAATGTGCGCCCTATTTTTATTGTTTAGAGCCTCACCTTATACAAACCATACCCTTTGAAGAGTGCACATGTTGAACATGATTTATATAAGGGCTATAAATTGATTTTATTTTTTACTTTCAAATATAAATTAAGTGAATATGGAGGCATCCATACATCATAAATGTCGCAATATGGGGCATCCATGCATCTTAAAATAGCACAAACAATATAAATAAAAAAATATCTTTTAATAAAAAGAAATACCTCAAAAACTTTCTGGGGTATTTTGATCAAATTTTATTCAAAATATTTTATTTTATTTTTATTAGGTACACCCTATTAAAATGAATCTAAGCCCCAATTTTAAGGTAAATATAATTTATATAAAAAATAAAAAATCTATTTATAGATACAAAAATAAAAAACAATTCTATGCAGGAAAAATTTATATAGAGTCGAGGCTCTAAACAATCAAATTTTAGCTTACCTCAAAAATTTTACTGGAAGAGATTGTTCTGATGCCCAAATATTTTCAAATTGATCATCTCGATATCAAGATGCATGGACATGAGAAAAAAATGGATTGCAAGTTTTGGAAATAGTGTATTTTGTAACGTATTTGTAGCCTGTCAATTTTCAAGATTTTTAAGTTCTCATAGATATGACGATCTACACTATTTTTGAAACTTTAAACTTTAAATTTTATAAATAAATATAAATATATGTTAAGGCTATCACAAAGATTTGCAATATTAAAACCACAGTATTTGAAGGTACGCTCTAATTTGATTGCTAACCGCACCCTTCTATTTATAATCTCCACAGTTGGAAAGGTACTTTTGCACCCTCCGATCTCCACGCCATGTGGGGTTCTACTTTTCTTCAGCAATATTTTTGCGATGTTGAAAGACCCACATCTTTATTTAGCAACAAATATAGGACAAAAAAAACACATAAAAGAAAGACAAAATAAATCAGGCGAGGAGTTCAAGGAAGGCACGTTCATTTAGCAACAACAGCAGTAAAAGAAGAAATCCTCATCGATTTAATATTTAACGTTTTATCTATTTAATATTTAACTTTGGGTGTGGTTTTTATACGGTTGCAACTTTAAACAATCCAATTAAGGCATATCTCCAAATTTTATCATAACATGTAATTTTGGTTTAATTTTTTTTTAGGATTATCTGAAAATCTATTTTTACATTTAATTATGAAATCTTAAACTTAATAATTAAAATCAAGTAGATCTATAAGCATGTGAAAATCTTGAAAATGAACAGACTAGATAATGTGTTGCAAGATGCACTATTTCTGGAATTCAAAATCTATTTCTTTTATCATATTCATACATCTCAATGTTTAGATAATCAATTAGAAGGTTTTGACCATTAACACAACCTTTTCCAATGGATTTTTGAGGTGCATCTATAATTCTACATTTTAAGTTTGCAACCTTATATAAACTTTTTCCTTTTAACTTTTAGTTATATCCTTAGTCTATAACTGAAAAGAAACACACCCTAAAGAAAACTAAAAAATCGCAAATGTAAAATCTAAAAAATATTAATATAAAACCTATTATATCAGTCTATTATAAAATAAATTTAGGACCCAATTTTTATGTTAATACAATTTTTTTTTTTTTTTTTTTAAAAAGACCGCTAATGATTTAAAAAAACGAGTAAAGGCTCGTCATCCCCATTAAATAACCCAAAAATAAAAAAAAATTTGTTATTATCACAATGGTGAAAGACCTACACCTTTATTTAGCAGCAGATATAGGAAAAAAGAAAAGAAAAAAAAGAGAAGGACAAAATAAATCACGCTAGGAGTTGAAGGAAGGCCAACCCGACGTAGTTGCAGCTGCATAGTCCTTCAATTCAAGCTCCTTGGCAGCGCCATTCAACTGATTGACTGCGTACAAGTAGTTATCTGCCCTACTGTTCAAGAATCAACTGGATTGGGATCACCGGCGGCATTGTTATACAAGTCTTCAACATAGTTACTTACGCTCGTGGTGTTGTCCACAGCAAGCTTTATGGCTATGGTGACCACCCCAACCAGGTCTGCACTGCGCCTTTTGGGGTCCGAACCATTGACGCACAAGTCGTAGTACCTGGTGTTGTTGCATGCATCCTTCAGGATATTTAATGGCTCAGCCTTGCTAGAGAAGGGGTCCCAGGCAATTGTAGGGTACATTATAGAGAAGAAGAGGAGGGAGAGAACCATGGCTAGGATTGAAGACATGTCCAATATAGAGATAGGGTACATTATAGAGAAGAAGAGGAGGGAGAAAGCCATGGCTAGGATTGAAGACATGTCCAATATAGAGAAGAAGAGGAGGGAGAGAGCCATGGTTAGGATTGAAGACATGGTTCAGTGATATATTTCTTTTAGGGCACGTTTGGATCCCTGGATTTTTCAATCATGAAAAAGTCAATCATAGAATTGAGATTTATTGGAATTGACATTTCCTCAAACATAGTGTATGCTGTTTGGATGGCATTTGGTAGACATCGTGATAATGTAAATTCCATATTTGGATTACTTGGAATATTTTTTTCTTGGAAATACAAATCCTCTCTCTCTTTTTTTCTCAAAATTTTGAGATATCTTCTCTCTCTAAAATTTTAATACACTCTCTTTCAAAGACTTAAAATTTGAAATAGTGACTATAAAAATTTTGAGATAGTTTCTCTCTAAAAATTGCACATACTTTCTCTCTCTAAAATTTGATATAGTTTCTCTCTTTAAAATTTTGAAAT